GAGAACCTTTTACACTCCACTTGTATTTCTTCAACATGTCCAATGTTGCACTCCGATTGTAGCACTCAAGCACCCCACGATCCTGCTCAGGTGAAGTCCACAACACATGGGCCACGTGACCAGCAAAACTAGGGATCACGTCGGGAATCATCGGTCCGCCCGTACACATCACTACTGATTCTCTCGTAAGAAGCCAAGACTTGTCTTTGTTGGCTCTCTTCTTCCTCTTCTTAGAGTTACCACACTGCTGAGAACTAGATGCTGCCCGAAAGCGTCCATCAGGACCCCGACATGTCGTCGAGGAAGTAGAAGTCATCGGAGCTCCTAAGTACCTCTGAACCTGAGTCTGAGCGAGCTTCTCTACCTCATCATGATCATCATCATCATCGTCATCATCATCATCATCATCATCAATCGGTATACCATCATCCGAAATAGAGTCCTCCCAACTCGGCTCCCAAGTATCGACACGATCAGATGTAGGTGTGGGACTTTTCCGACTAAGCGACAACTGCCCTTGAGTAGGATGACCGTCAGGACGCTCTACTTGTAGCTTCTTCTGCCTTGCTCGATTCTTACGAGGATTTTTGTCTTCATTTTCTTTTCGCCCAGTTGCCGTAGGTCTACAAGTTCGGTTTTTCATTCGATCCTTAATGGTTCCAGATTTTTCAATTCTCGACATCTTCAAAAACATACAATGCTACTATTAGAAATTTAGAATATGATTTAACTATATATATATATATATTGAAAATAATTTAACTATATATATTAAACTACTCTAAATACAACAAGTAAAATTTCTACCAATTTTTATAACGGTGTATAACGTTTAATCGACATAATTTCTACCAATTTCTACCAAGTTTAATTAAATTAATTGAAATACTAAAATTTAACAAGATCTATTCAACTAATCTTCAAAATAAGTACGTATCCAACTTCAAAATGACATATGGGCCATTTTGAGCCCAAACTCCCTCGGTTCTCCGAACCACCCTTGGGCCATCTATGGGAGCAGTTAATTAGCGTTGAACTCACACGTGTACAAAGACAAGCTTCATGAACTCGGGAAAATATCAGAGCAAAAAAAAAATCAAATATAAAATTAATTGATAAAAGGGGACGGTGGGCTAGGTGGGATTGACAGGGCTGCTCGCTTGTCAAAATTTAGGTAACCAGTTCGTGGAGCGGGAGCGAGAGCGAGAGCTGGAGCGAGAGCGTAAGAGCGTCTATTTTATAAGAATTCATTATTGAGAGCGTGATGAAAGCGTCATGATATATTATTTTTATATATTTAATATATTTTTTATAAAATTTCTAAAATATTATTAATACCAAAATAGCACATAACAAATTGATTACATTTATATAAAAAATTACAATGCAAATAAGATGATTTTTTTAGTTTTAATTTCACTATTATATCAATAAATAGATAAAGTTATTTTTTGTAAATATTAATTATTTTAGGTTTTTCATTAACTTTTTGGTTTTCATTTAATCTTTCGGCCATTCACCCGTGACCAACTTTTCCCTCTCTCTCTCTCTCTCCTGGCGCTTCACTGCTCTGTTCTTCTCCTTCAATTTTCTGGAGATCAGTTTATGCAACAAGCGAATGAATCATTTTCAATCTCGCAGATCAACTTATAATGGAAAACGAAAACGTCGACAACAGTAGTTCGTAGCCGGAAGGAGAATGGTCTGCGTTGACAACTTCGGATTCGACCCGAAGAAGAAGAAAGGATTCCGTCGACGACCAACGATTAGGCACCGGAAGGCAGTAGAATGGCTAGTTGGCCAGGACTGAAGTGTTTGCCGGAGGAAAAGAAAGGATTGCACTAACGATTGTCATTCGGCGGCGGAAGGCAATTGAACGGCCAGCAGTCGATTGACCATCGGTCAAACGATGTATAAATGATGATCCACCGGTCGCTGAAACAAGCAAAAATGGTCGGTTGGAAGGATGGTACACGAGGAATACTTCTCGTGTGACCGACGGGGAAACATGTATAAATGGCCGGTTGGAAGGACGGATAACGACGAAAAATTCCTGGTATGTCGGACGGTGAACAAGGCCAAATCGCCGGTTGGAAGGATGGGTAAAATAGTACAAATGCTCGATTGAATGGAAGGTCAAACGAGAAGAGCAATTTGGTTGACCGACAGTCAAAATAGGGGTTGGGAGGATGTACCTCTGCTTCCGATGATCTCTTCTCCGACGGAAAGGAAGCAACTGCTTATTCGCCGGTCGGACAATCTACTTTGCCTAGAACGTATCTTGCCTGAAAGAGCCCACACAAAGCAGAGCAAGTAAGAGATCTATGACACACCACCATTCCATCCCTCTCTCTCTCTCTCTCTCTCCTTACCTCGTTTCTTCCTCCCCTGAAATTCTTAAATCGACGAGAAGGCAGAGCTACCAGCAACACTTCCATCCCATAGGAGACGAAATCTGACAAAAGACAAGGACTTCGCCTTCCATAACCTTATTCATCTCATGTGGGCTATTGGGCTAAGAAGAGACGGCGGGAATCAGGGACGGTTGCGGAGCGGCGGTCAGGGTCGAATCAGATCGATGGTGGGGCGCGATGGCCGGCGGCGGCACATGGATGAGGGTTGCGGAGCGGCGAGGAGATTTAGGGAGGAACTAGATCGATGGTGGGACGGTCGGCGGCGGCTGGGATAAAAAGAGTTCCAGAGGGTTGGGTTGGGGCTTCAGAGAGAGAACGTGAAAGTTTGAGAGAGGAGAGAGGATCGGCTCTTTGTCAGGGAGGAGAGATAAGGGGTTGTTTGTTATTGCTTTAATTTGAAAATTGAATTTGGACTAATTGGTAAATTGCATATTAAAGTTAGGACGTCAAGTAGTAAACTTAGGACGACATTTAGCATTTCAGAATAAAAGGTGTCTAAGGATGTAAAATTGAGTTATTGAAATTGGTCGGCTTTAGTATGATACAATACAAAACGTGGTTTCATCATGAGGTCTGAAACTTCAAGCTTGTGAATTGATATTCTTGAATCGCGTGTGTAAGGGAGTGGAATAAAATCGATACGTGAACCCCTTCTATCTATCGAAACTAATTGGTTCATGATGAGTGCCATCTCCACTATAATTACGGTACCATATACAAAATACACATTCACGTATTTATATTTATAAATGACTTTGATCTTTTTATAGGTGATGATCACATGATTCAAACTTACTATGATGACCTAAAATTAATGGTAAACATCGTACAAACTCGTTCACAACATTATAGTCTTTGTGATTAATTTGTTGGACTCACCTAAAGCGATGTTTTATGTTCGAATCTACGCGTTTCTTCAAATACTTTCATGACGATACTCGTTATAAGTTTCACCCGACTAATAAACCCATTTGTACAAACTTGAAATCTCTGATACACACTACCCAATTTCAAGTCAATCATGGATGCTATATGTATATATGCTAGTTTGATACCGATGGCGTCCCAGAATTACCGCTGAGCTAACTAGGTGATGGAGTTGGTAAAAAGTGTCATGGCCATGCATGGCGGCCGGCAAATTATTACGTGCATGGGGCCGGGAAAAAGGTTGCTGTAGCAAGAGAGGACTTACTGACATCCACATATAGATATATGCCGCGACAAGATCATCAAGTGAACAATAAGAAGGATTAGATTTACAGGTAAAAACGATTAAACAACAGATTAGGGCAAATTCTGTGATGCATTGATCCCCAACTAATCTTTGTCGTTTTGATGAAGTACCGAACAGAACGTGTTCGTTGGTTGTGTTTTGATGAATGGTGAGGACGTGTTGATTTAGCTATAGCTAGGTTGTAATTTCGGTTCCTCCAGGCATACAAATTCCCCTCACAAGTTGACTAAAAAGATTCTTTGACTTCAAGGGAAAAGAGAACATTGTGTTCCTGATCATCATCAACAAGTGTATATTATCCTTCCAATTGATTTTTCAAAGTCAAAAGACATAATGTAGCAGAAGAATTAGGAATGGTGTTGGTGAGGGAGGATGGGGCGGTTCGATCTTATACCCCCCACTATTCCTCCAATACCAAGGAATTATTCATTTTGCTATGTATTCTGAAATAACTTATTGGGTTTTTGGGATGAGGGTTTTGTAAAATGTAATACAATATATAGGTTAAATTACTTGTATTATATAGAACAAGACAATTTAAATTGTTATGTTTTCTCGTAGTAATTTAAATTACAACAAAATGAAGCCATTCATATTGTTAATTACATGTAGAAGTGATTTTTTTTACAATCAAACTAGTCATTTCAATCCAAATGCTTGCATTATGGGATAATTAGACCAAATTATCTCACCTAAATGTCTCATCCAAACCACTCGTGTCTAACAATCCCATTATTGTGCTAGGAGACATGGAAAATCACTTTCAAGTAAATAAATAGAAAGCAAAGAATGGGTTGGTTAATGAAATTTAATTTCATGAGAGTTGGAGGCTCTTGTATTTAGGGGTATCTACTTTGCAATGAAATATGAGTTAAGTGAAGCATAAATATTAGAGAGCCGTTCAAATATGATGAATTGGAAATGGGATGGTAGAAGGCTGTTTTATGCGTTGTTTGGAAGTTAATCGGATAATACTCGTGTTAAATGGCTCGTATGATAGATTGGAACAAACAAGATGGATTCAAATGAAAATTATTTTTTGGTTGGGAATAATAAATTGGACTGGGTAAATCTCGTTAACATGATAGTTTCACTACTAATTACCATCCCTCCATGAGGCAAAAAAAAATTAAAGTACATCCCCTACTTGAAACTTTATGATCTAATGAAGTTACTAAACCATAGAGAGACCCACTTAGGGGTGCAATCCAATTATGCACTTATCTCATCCTTTTCCACAAAAACAAAACACAATAAAAGAAAATTATGCATGTTGTTGCTTCTTGTTCCAGCAAACTCTAAGCTACCCAGCCCTATATAAAGCCAACCCATTGTCCTCTTTTGCCAATTGCACCCATCCTACTTACTCCCCTTCTCTTCTAGCCATAACTAGCAAATCCTAGAGCGAACCAAGTTCCCATCTTTAAAAAAAAAAAAAAAAAAAAAGTTTGAAAACGATGGGAAGGTTTGGCTTCTGTGGAGCATTACTTGTCATTCTTGGCCTGGTTTTAGCCAGCAGCATTGGCTCTGCCCAGGCCCAATTGACGATGGGTTTCTACTCCAAGAGCTGCCCGAAAGCAGAGAAGATAGTTCAGGACTACGTCAATCAACACATCCCCAATGCTCCTTCTCTGGCTGCTACTTTCATCAGGATGCATTTCCATGATTGCTTCGTCAGGGTGGGTTTTCATTTTTATTTTGTTCTTAATGTTTCTCCTCATTTTCGAGACCACCCTCAAGTAATGGAGCTTAACTGAACTCCTTTGGCAAAAAACAGGGCTGTGATGCATCGATCCTTCTGAACACGACTTCAGGGGAGCAAACTGAGAGACAGTCCCCGCCCAATCTTTCGCTCCGAGGGTTCGACTTCATCGACAGGGTGAAGAGCCTCGTGGAAGCTGCGTGCCCTGGAGTTGTGTCATGTGCTGATGTCCTCACTCTCATCACCAGGGACTCCATTGTTGCCACTGTAAGCTTAAGCCACAAAACAAAACAACAAAAACAAAAACTTGTCCTGAAATGGAAGCATATAAATAATCCAGGGACCTGATTCCAGTTTTCAAAATTTTGTTCTGTTTAACAGGGAGGTCCTTCTTGGAAAGTACCCACTGGTAGAAGAGACGGCTTGATCTCCCGATCATCGGAGGCTCTGAACAACATTCCCCCTCCGTTCGGTAACATTACCACTCTCAGAACTATGTTCGCCAACCAAGGACTCGATTTGACAGACCTTGTACTGCTTTCAGGTAATGCTACGTACGACTATATCTGTATACATTGTGAACTTTATTTTCACATTTTCTTTCGTTTGATTAATCAAGTGTTAACGGCGTCCTTACTAGGTTACATATACTTGAAATTGCACGACTATAAGATGCGATCAACTAATACAAATGACTGAGATTACATAAGACATTCTTTTCTTTACTAAACCAAGCATATCATCATGTCAGACAACAATAACAACCAAATTGCGTAACTATAACTCAAACTGTTTGTTCGCGCGATATATACTCTCAGGTGCACACACCATCGGCGTGGCTCACTGCTCCTCCTTCACCAACCGTCTCTACAACTTCACCGGCAGGGGAGACGAGGACCCAGCTCTGGACAGCAACTACGCCGCCAATCTGAAGGCGAGGAAGTGCAGAAGCATCGGCGACACCACGACGAAAGTGGAGATGGACCCCGGAAGCAGGAACACGTTCGATCTCAGCTACTACAGCCTCCTGCTGAAGAGGAGAGGGCTGTTCGAGTCCGATGCTGCCCTGACTTCCGACTCTGCTTCGCTGCGAGAGGTTAACAAGATCGTGAAGGGCTCTGTTCAGGATTTCTTCACTAGGTTTGCCGAGTCCATGGAGAAGATGGGTAGCATCGGTGTCAAGACTGGATCCGTTGGTGAAATCAGGAAGCAATGTGGTCTTGTCAATGGCTAATTAAGAGGCTGCTGCGTTTGCATTCTGGTTTTGAAGATTGTTATTAATTGTATTTTTGTTGTTGCTGTTGTTGGGTTGTTAATATTTATGATGGTTTGAAGAGAGGGGATCTTGAGGAGGCTATATGTATACTGGATGTGCTGAGGAGTGGTGGGTGTTTGGTGAGTTTTTATTCAATTAGTGATGTAATAATAATGGTTGGTTCCTTTGGTATGGCAGGAATAATAAAAACTTTTGTTATCATTTTGACTTGCTTATCATTCACATTAATTATGGTATCATATCACTTCCTGTTTACCCTACTACTACCTTATCCTTCATATATGGAAATCCCGGGACAAGCTAAGGTGCTAATCTTATAGAGGGTTAACACCGTACTAACTAATATTTAAGTGGTTTAATTTTATTTTTTATTAAATGGCTATAATTAAAGAAAGGGTATAATAGGAAATAAGAAGAAAATTAAAAAATATGAAATTAATATCATTTACGGAAAGTTACTTCTGTTTTTAAATCAAATCTGTTTGTTTTAGTGGGGCTGATTTGTAGGGATTGGGACGGTTAGGAGTTTTGATTTTTTGAAAACGGGTCTGTAGTAGTTTGATGTGAACATATGGTAGTGTTTATGTTCATGATTGAACTGGGACTATGTAGTTTCGTCAATATTGAGGTGCAATATTTTGGTAGTAGTGGTTTTTACGAATGCGTGTGTAGCGTTTTGTGATTGACGTGCTAATGCTTGTGTAGGGTTTATTATTGATGGCATGGAAGTGACTGTAGTGTGATGTGTACCTATGGTAGTGTTTATGCTGAAGTTTGAACTGGGACTATGTAGTGTTGTGAGTCAATATTGAGTTAATACGGGGACCGGTTATTGTAACAACACCCATTGTGTTGTTATTGTAACAACACTAGTCCCCAACCAATAGAAAGCTAGGATTGTGATGACTTTTTATTAGATGAGTTGACCTAGTGTAAAATCAAAGCAGGGGTATAATTGTCATTATGAAAAATCTATTTAAATAATAAATTAAAAAAATAAAAAATTTAAAAAATATTTTTTTTATTTTCTGCCCAAAAATTTGGTCGTCGGAATTCTGCCACCGGTCACCGGAATATGCTTTTTGTCGCCGGAATATGCTTACCGGCGTCTGAATCTAGTCACCGGGGCCGGAATATGCCTATCGGCGTCGAAATCTGCTCACTGACGGTCACCGGAGTTCGGTCAACGAACTTCGTTGAACGGTCAACGGTCAACGACCACCGGATGTTATGGTTAGCATTGTGAGATTTATGGTTTGGTTTCTCATATTTTTTATGCCTTTTATGGTTTGTTTTATTGTGTTTGTGGTTTGCATTGAGAAGTTTCTGGTTTGTTTTCAAAAACTTTGTGGTTTGCATTGTGAGGTTTCCGGTTTGTTTTAATATATTTGTGGTTTGCATTATGACGTTTATGGTTTGCTTTTTGTGGTTTGATTTACTGTGTTTGTGGTTTGCATTATGAGGTTTCTGGTGTGCTTTCGCAAATGTTGTGGTTTGCATTGTGAGGTTTCTGGTTAGCATTGTGAGATTTATGGTTTGATTTCTCATTTTTTTTATGCCTTTTATGGTTTGCTTTATTGTGTTTGTGATTTGCATTGAGAAGTTTCTGGTTTGGTTTCAAAAACTTTGTGGTTTGAATTGTGAGGTTTCTGGTTGGTTTTAATATATTTGTGGTTTGCATTAGGATGTTTATGGTTTGCTTTTTGTGGTTTGATTTACTGTGTTTGTGGTTTGCATTATGAGGTTTCTGGTGTGCTTTCGCAAATGTTGTGGTTTGCATTGTGGGGTTTCTGGTTTGTTTTAGGGGATTTGTGGTCTGAATTAGAAGGTTTTTAGTTTGCATTAATAAGTTTCTGGTGTGCTTTCGAAACTTTTGTGGTTTGCTTTGTGAGGTTTGTTGTTTGTTTTATGAAATTTGTGGTATGCATTAGAAGGTTTTTGGTGTGAATCTTTGCACCGACTCATTGTAAAACTTTTCAAAACCCGCTTTAAGATATTCCATGTTGAGAAAATATAAATTGAGCATGTATGATCATCCCAAATGAAATTACAACAATTTATGCCAAATTTCCAGCTCCTCCCACTTGCATTGCCCCCACACCATCCAGCCCCTCCTCTAGGGAACATCGCCAATAATTCATTCTTACTCCTTCCTTCGCTTCCTTCGTCCTCTCCTATCGCAAAAATATTCTCCTCCCCAGACAAAGTATCATACCATATCTCCACGATTTGATTGTGATTCCACCCCATTCCCACCCACGTCTCATTTTGACCATTTCAGAGGCAAGCTTCTCCAGTTTAATGAAATTACAACAATTTATGCCAAACCGTCAAATTGAAATGGGTTAAAGATAGTGTTCTGGACAGGGTCGTCTCTGGCCACGGAGATATGAAAGCTGCCTGCTTTCTCGTTTCCATAATTACATCTGCTCCCAACCATTCCCTCCCTGTCTACTCCCTCATCGCCGCCGTCCTATCTGCTCTCCGCGAAGCAAAATTGCAGGCCACCAGAGGCTCTGTCTTCATCACCACTCACCCACCCACACAGAAGAACTCAACAACCCCCCGCCTTCAACAAATTCCCACGAAAAAATCGAAAGTCCGAAACTCAAAATCTCCGCCTCCGTCGACTCCGGTTGATTCCCCCCTTCTCTTCCCGTGTGTGCAGAGAAGAGAGAGCTGAGCTGCGGCCGGCTGTTGTGAATTGAAATTTTGAACGGAGCCGAGATTCAATTTAGGCGGTTATGGATGCGAAGGTTGCTCTCAGTATGCAGCTGCCTGGTGCTTGGACGTGGAGACTGACGAAGGCTGGAAGCGGCGGAGTGATGATGGCGGTCGAGAAGTTAGGAGTGCGACGGCGGAGATGGGCGAGGATGGCGACTCAGCAGCGAAGGCGAGTTCGAATGCTCCTTCTTATCCGTAATTATCTTTCTGTTAATTTAATATATTATTATCTAATAATTAATGGTATTTTACTCTTATACTCTTAATGAATCCTGTTGTTAGTATAACAACTCTTAAGGTGTTGTTATACTATCCGGACCCGTTAATACGGGACAAATACTAAACCAACACAAAGGAGTACTAATCACTATCAGAACATGAATCACTACCACCCTAAATTCCAACACTCAGTACTCAGTTATTGGATTCGTGTGAACTTCGTTTGTACTAATCAGAACATGAACACAAATCAACATAAAACATTACTGATCAGAACACGAATCACTACAGCATAAAATCATTGACCCACTCCGCAAATCACTACCAACAGAACACTACTAACCACATGCGAAACACTACCACCTGAATCTACTGGACTCTTCTCTCCGATCAGAAACCAAATCGGAGTTAAGATCTATAAACCTGCACGCAATCGTCCTAAAAGGCAGATCTTGATTCAAAAAATAAAAAAAATAGAGCCGGGGCGGGAAATGCAATTTCGCCAGGAAGAGAAGAAGAAAGACGATTGACAAAGTTTTACTACTGTTTGAGGCGGCGGCTGGAACGAAGCCAAGATCGGCTGAAAGTGAACCCGACGAAGGCGACTACGGATGCGACGAGGTCGGAGGAGCGAAGGAGGGGGACGAGGTGGGAGGATTGGAGGGCGGCGACAAGGCGGGATGAGCGGAAGGCGGCAACGAGGTGGGAGGAGCGGAGGGTAGTGCAGGCGAGACAGTGCCAATGAAGGCCGCTGGGGACGGAGCCTTCAACGACGGGAAGGATTGAAATCAGCGGCTCCGCTAGGAGAAGAACTCCGACTGCTATAGAAGAAAGAGGGAAGACCAAAAACTCACCCAAAAAGAATAAGCTTCTGACTGTTGGGATCCCACCACAAAACTGCATCCGTCTCTGGTTGATTTCATGGCTTGACATCAGCAAAATAATCCAATTCACTAAAATACCCCTGAGGACATAACTCCCTTCATTAGGCAAAAATACAAAACACAGCCGTACTATAGAGTTAGCAGGGTGCTAACGGAGTGGGGATTAGCAACCCATCGGATCCCGGAAATCTCAAATGAATATAGGAGTTATTCGACGACGCACATAGCCTATCAATGGCCACCAAAGGAAAAAATGATGGTTGTCAATTGTCAAGGTTTGAGTTGAACCCATGACCTCCAGAATCAAAACTTGTGCCTTTACCATCTCCACCATTGTTTGATTGAAGTGAATGCGAAAAATTATTAAGTTAAGTGAATGATGATTTTGAAATGATTTGTTGATCTGGTTAAGCTTATGTGTAACGGTTGAAGTACGTGAGTAGTGTGAAATGACAAACGATCTTACAAATATGTGTTCCCTTATAGAAGATAAATAAGCAGAATGGGAAACTATGAAACAATTCACTAAAATAGGGTCTACCGTCCTTCTTAAAATCAATTTTTAAAATGAGAAATCATCATAATTTAAGCTCATATTCTTTTATCGAAAAGTTTGTTATTTGATCAAACAGAGGCACCAACTAGTACCATGAAATCTCAATTCTAGATATCAACATCAACTTAGTTCACATCACTTAGTATGAATCAATAAGGCTCCTAGCAAGACAAAAGTGTGTTGTCAATTAAGAGGGTGATTAGGGTTTTGCTCCGAGAATTCCGGAGTTGAGAAAAAAAGGCGATTATGCACGATCTAGGGTTCGGCTTCCATGGCGGCGCACCCGTCGTCGGCTGTGCCGACGGGACATGATAAACCGACGGATACAACTAGAGGAATACTGAGACCTGCTAAGGCTTCCTCGTCTCTGGATGGAAAGAGTGCGAAGGAGTCCGTTCAGCCCAAGAAAAAGGTGTGACCTCTGAACTTTCCAGATGATGGCCGGGAAACTGACGCTAAGGTTGTGATAGAGATGGACACTGAGAAGGAGGGGCGACCAAAGTCACCGGCATGGCGTGGGAAACAAGGAAAAAGTTTCACTGATATCTTGAAACAAGACTCATGGTTTGTTGCTGACTCGGACTCGGAGGACGTAGCTGCAGTGGAGAGAGAGGAAGATGACGTGTGGGATGATGAGAATGAGGACCCAAAGTGTCCAACGATCTTACTCACTGCAGAGGAAAAAATCTGATGGCGTCGAGAGTGGAGATCGGCCCTGGTGGTGAAAGGTTTAAGGCAAAAAGTTCCATATATCCCGTTGGTGCGTCGTCTCCAATCGCTCTGGTCTAGGCATGGAAACGTGCAAATCTCCGATATGAAAAATGGGTGCTTCCTGGTTCGCTTTCGTAACCAGAAGGACTATGAATGGGCGATGATGGGCGTCCCTTGGATGCTGGGAGATACATACTTGATGGTGCATCGATGGTTCAAGGGTTTTAACCCCTGGAAAAGTAAATAAAATCAACGATGTTGTGGGCTCAACTTCCCGAACTCCCAATCGAGTTAATCAACAAGGAAGCGGCAATGAATATTGGTGGATACTTGGTGACTCGCTCAAAACTACACCGCGAATTATATCCCGACTAGAGCCCCATTTTTTAAACTCTAGTTGGGTGCAGTATAGGGCAAGTATTTAATTGTCAAACCCGGGCCGGTCCATGTACCCCTACTTCAATCACTTAATTTGTTATTTAGCAAAACAGTTTTGGGTTTAAAACTAAGAAAACTACAAACTAAACAAGCAAGGAAAGTAAATGGAGGAGAATTCTACTGGAGAGGATTTCACCCGGGTATTGCTCCCTCTAGTCTCATGCTAAGAAGTGACAAACAAAGCTCTAGTGTGAAGGACGTGTTCATACACTGCGAGGTGGGTGCAGCTAGCTAGGGACAAACTCCCTTAGTCGATCAATGAAGGAAAATCAACAAATAGAAGCTAGGAGAACTAGCTCTCTTAACCGTTAGGTTAAGGATTGTGATTCATAGCTAGGGAACCTAGCCCTCTTCACCGATCAACCAAGGAGATCCCTAACTCTCTTAGTTATCTAATTGAGATTCGTTGCAACAAGTTAGAAAACTAACTCACTTAACCTTTCGGCTAAGGGTGACAACAATAGGCTAGGATACCTAACCCTCTCGACTAGCCGACTAAGGATTGCAAACCAAACTCTCATAACTTAATCCGGTTGGCGGAGATACCAATCCCTGTGGAATCACGACCATACACGATACTTGAGATTTTGGTCTTAAATCGACCTAAAGGAGATTACCCAAGTGGCTAAGAAGTCTAGCTTCCTATTGGACCAAAAGGGGATTTCCACCCTCTAGGTTAATTTTACCCGATATTGAGTTAAAACTAGCACACTCAATCATTCATGAATAATACCTCAAATATCATATAAAACACTCAATCCACATAATAGATTCATGTTCTTACATCCTAACACATAGAGAGACTAGGATTGACAATATCCAAGTGAGTAGGTAGGCTATTCCATTGTTAGACAAGAGAAAACAACAAAAGGGGAAGAAAGAACTATGAAGTGATGCCAATATTTCCTCCTTGTTGCTTGACACACCCTTGAGATGAAGAAATATTCAATCCTCTAGTTAGGAACAAGCCCAAAACTCCTTCTTCCTCCTTTGATTTGCACTTTCTCACTGTAGAAGAAACCCTAACCTCTCACTAGAATCCTCTTTATTTTGAAAAATGAAAACCTAACCTAAAAATGAAGCTCTCTTTCTTCTTCCTTTAAGCTCTCATTAAAACCCAGATCGAGCTGAGTTCACGGCCTTCCAGTTCACAACCGTGAACACCTAAACGCGTCCGTGAACTCAGTGTCATCTCCAAATGGCACTGCTTCACTTTCCAGGGTTCACGGTTTGTGCTCATAGTTCACGGTCTTAGAGACCATGAACTCCCTTGGCGTCAGTAACCTCTCAAACCTCGCTGGACGCCTCGAGGTTCATGGTTTGTGGTTCCAGTTCACGGCCTTAGGAGACCGTGAACTCCAATGCCAGACCGTGACCTGCAGCTGATTTCTAGACGCCTGCGCTTCACTGTTAAGGGGCAATTGTCACGGTCGCTACTTTGGAATTTTCTTCAGTTTTTGCACTTCTTGACCTTCAATCGTCCCAAAACTCGTCATCGACCCTTCCACATGTGCTAGGACCTGAAATGTATCAAAACAAGCACAACCTAGTGTGAAATATATCGAGGGACGATGAAATACAAAGCCAAACGATCAAGAAATGAGGGGTAAAATGTGTACAATTGGACCCGAATCACTTAGGTAAAGCAGTTCGTGTGGATAGGGCAACGGAACTTGGGGCTCGAGGGAAATATGCTCAGGCTTCCGTTGAAGTTGACCTTACACATCCGTTGATCTCACTGTTCAGAATAAAAGGAGTGAAGTTCTTGGTTCAGTGTGAAGGCTTAGATGATCTGCGTACGGATTGCGGAACGTATGGGAAGTCAAAGGGAAGGTGCCATTGCATACCAAGGTCGATGGAGATTGAGGATAGTTTGGACGTGAGTACATATGAGAGGGATGATCCTATGGAGGGTTAGACATATGGGGAGTGGATGAAGGTGAAGCCTTGGTGACGAGGTCCGGTAAGAAAAGAGAAGAGTGGATGGAAAGCTGAAGGAGGGAAACTCACAAACAGGTTCCAAGAGCTGGCTGAGGATGTTTGGGTAACTGAGGCCGAGGAAATAAGAAGTAATGAGAAGGAGGATGTGCATGTGGAACGTAAACAGGACCATGCAACGTTGGAAAAAAAAAGTCGAATGATTTATCCCAGGATGTGGCACCCAATCTATACCCGGTGGATTCGGGTAACAAACTCCCCGTGACACCAAAGCCTTCTGATAAGGTGAGCGCGAGCTCATCAACTCAAGTGAAAGAGGTACAACAAGCAGTACATGTTCCTAGCAAAGCTTACAAGGGTTTGCAACTAAAGGGGAGTGGGAGTATGCCCTAGTGAAGGGAAGCGACGAGAAGATATTGGAACCGAAGAAAGGAGAAGGGACATAGAGTAAGTCCAAGAAGGAACCTGAAGGGGTCTAGAGTCAAACAAAAACTGATGGTGCAGGGAACCGATCCCCTTCGAGTAATAAATGAGGTTACTATGCTATAACTGTTGCAGTATGGAAAGCACCCGTGCAGTTAGATCTCTGAAGTCGTTACTATGACATGCTCCCTCCCAGGTTGTTTTCCTAATGGAGACTAAACAACTTCGGGATGAGAATGAGAAGACTAGGTTGGAAGTGGGCTTTAAAAATGGTACAAGCTGGCCTTGTGATGTATCCATGGTTGGGAGAGCGCGCGCGAGGGGGGTGGGCTATCCATGTGGTGGCTTGAAGATGTGCAGGCGACGGTGATGGCTGACTCTTTCAACTACATTTATCTTAGGGGTCGAGAAGAAGCCAAAGGAGGTTTGGCGGTTCCCAAGAGTCTACGGTTGGCCAGAGAGTCGAGATAAACACCATACTTTGCAACTGATTTGTGAATTAGCTTGAGTATGGAATGGACCATGGATTTGTGGTGGTGACCTCAACCAAATCCTGTCTGATGAAGAAAAGAAAGGAGGGAACTTAGGCAGAGTGGAGGAGATGGGGTCTTTCACGGATTGTTTGATGGAGATGGGTCTTAAGGACCTAGGTTTCCATGGTTACCCTTATACATGGGAGAATAGAAGTCGCGGTGGAATGTACATAGAGGAGAGATTGGATCGATTTCTTGTGAATGGGGCCTGGTGGGAGATGCGACCGATGGCACGTGTATTGCACTTAGATCAAATGAGGTCAGACCATCGCCCCATATCTTGTGATACTTTGGGTGATGAGGATGTTGATGTCCAGTGGGGTTGGTCCTTTCGGTTTAAACCACATTGGGCTAAGCATGATGAGTGTGTGGAGAAGGTGAAGGAAGCCTAGATTTCGAATTCGGGAGATGCTATTTCCAAAATTACAAATGTTTAGACAGTGCTGGACTCCTGGAGCCGAGCTACTTTTTCAAATTTCAAGCGGCAGAAGGACAAAATCAAGAGGGCTCTGAAGGCCCTCGAACGCAGAGATAAGACGGATTGGGTCTTGAGCAGAGACGCAAGCTCGAAAAGGAATTAGAGGAAATAGAAAGTGACGAGGAACTCTTTTGGGCTCAACGATCTCGGGCTGATTGGCTAAGGGGTAGAGACAAAAATACAAATTTCTTCCATTGCAAGGCAACATCAAGACGACGCAGGAACACAATTAGGAAAATAAAGGATGAAACGGGAGTATGGTGGGGAGGTAACGAAGAGGTGTTATAATGTTTTATGAATTACTTTGTAAAACTCTTCACTGCAGGTGATCGCCCGGAGTTGACGCCGGTCCTGGACTCGGTGGGAACTAGAGTCAGTGATGAAATGAATGAAGGGCTCCTAAAGTCGAGTACCAGAGAGGAGTTGTATGCTGCTCTGTGCCACATGGGAAAGAGGAAGGCCGTCGGTGCCGACGGCATGTCTGTTCTCTTCTTCCTCAAATATTGGCACATAGTTGGAAATGAAGTGACCGAGATGTTGTTGGGTGTTATTAAGAGTGAGACAATGCACCAAGAGTTGGACCTTACCCTTTTGGCTCTGATCCCCAAATTCAGAGATCCAACTATGGCGAAAGAATTCCGACCGATTAGCATCTATAACGTTATGTATAAGATGTTACCGAAGGCTTTGGCGAACAGACTAAAGGTCTTACTGGACATGATTATTTCCCTGGAACAGAGTGCGTTTGTACCAGGGCGTTTCATAGTGGATAATGTCATGACATCTTTTAAGTGTTTTCACACTATGAAGAAGAAGACAAAAAATAAGTAGGGATATCTAGCTTCAAAGACTGATATGGCGAAAGCTTATGACAGGGTGGAATAGTGGTTTTTGGAAGGAGTTATGCGGAGAATGGGTTTTGCAGAAGGTTGGATTCGCCTTGTCATGTTGTGTGTCCGCTCGGTGATTTATGCGGTTCTCGTCAACGGGCACAGATCTCAGACTTTCGCTCCTATCAGGGGTCTGCGACAAGGCGATCCGCTATTGCCATACCTCTTTCTATTGGTAGCGGAGGGTTTGTCGAGCTATACCTCTTTGGCGGTTAGGCAGAAGCGAATCCATGGGTTGTCAGTGGCTAGGGGAGCGTCGGTGATCTCTCATCTTTTTTTCGCCGACGACTCTATCTTTTTTGCTAGAGACACTAAAAAGAAGAGTCGGGAGTTGAGGAGGGTGCTCGCGGACTACGAGAGAGAATATTAAGCCTGAGGTGACGTCTGAGGTGACCTTTGGAGGGAATGTTAAGCCTCACCAGCTATTAATTGCTAGTTCGACTTTGGGGATGAAGGTGGTGGAGAAACATAATAAATACCTAGGTTTGGTGATAGAGGTTGACCGATCGAAAAAGGAACTGTTCACTTTCCTAAAAGATCGAATCCAAAAGAAACTGTCGGGTTGGAAGGAAAAAGCAATGTCAGAAAGCAGGGAGAGAGGTCCTGATCAAGTCAGTGGCGTAGGCTCAATTAACCTACACCATGTCTGTGTTTAAGATCCCGGAGGGGATTCTTGATGAAATACATGGTATGATAACGCGGTTCTGGTGGGGTCAATGGGGAGAGGAGAGAAGGGTCCCGTGGGTGTCAATAGAAGGTTTGATGTGTACGAAGGAGCAAGGGGTATTGGATTATGAGATCTGCGCGACTTCAATCAAACGATGCTGGCTAGAAAGATCTGGAACCTGTGGCAACGCTCGACATCCCTGGTGGCGCAGATAATGAAGGCTAAGTATTACAAACATACCTCGACACTGGATGCTCGAATTGGGCACAAGCCTAGTTATGTTTGGTTCAGTCTTATGAGCGCCTAGGAATTTCTGGTTGATGGGTTGTGTTGGAGGATTGGAAATGGTGCATCGGTCTGGATATGGGGAGATCGTTGGGTTCCATCGACTAATGGTTTCATTGTTCAGTCCCCACCGATGGGTCTACCGGTTGACGGAGTAGCCCGAGAGTTGATGAACGAAGAAGAAGCATGGGATGAGAACCTCCTAGAGAGATGTTTTTCGACGGATATGGTCCAGGCGATTCGCCAAATTCCTTTGCGCAACCCAAATGAATAAGATAAGCTTATATGGGCTGGCAGTAGGGATGTGCACTATATGGTACGAGAGGGTTATAAGATATGGCTTCAGAAGTTCTAGGAGCAACGTGAGGATAGGTGTGTGTGTGTGTGAGAGAGAGAGAGAGAGAGAGAGAGAGAGAGAGAGAGAGTCGGGCCTATGGAAGCTATTGTGGTCACTCAACGTGCCCGACGCATGCACGTTCTGTGACCAAAAGGAAACCCATGCTATTGCCTTCCACGAGTGCTCATGGGCTAGTAGGCTATGGCGTGCCTCATCGGTGGCACATTGTTCTGAGATACGTGGCATACTTAGCTACATGGACTGGGTTCAGAAGGTGGTTAAGGTGGTATCGATAAGTGATATTGAGGACTGGATCATGTTGTTGTGGTCGCTATGGAGAGAATGTAACGCCCACCTGTTTAATGGCAAGAAGATGGAGGAAGCTGACATTGTCCCACAAGCGATTACTTACCTTGAAGGATATCGGCAAAATCAGCTCAGAGAGTTTCAGCCGTAGAACACACCTAGGATTGAGACTTGGACTCGACCATTACCTGGAAGTGTGAAGGTTAACGTGGATGCAGGGCTATACAAGGATGGTGTAGGGCTGAGTGTGGTTATACGTGACCATGAAGAAAGATTTCTATTGGCTGCAGCAAAGAGAATAAAGGTTGTCAAAGATCCGACGATGGGTGAAGCGCTGGCCATTGAGTTTGGACTGCAACTGGTTCGACAACATCATTTCGAGTCGCCGATCATGGAATCTGACTGTTTGACGGTGGTGAACCGTACGAGTGGGATGGTAGAAGTGGAAACAGAAGTGGGGATTGTATACAAGAACATACATAAGCTGTTGGGGGAAATTGAAAATGGCAGGTTGCGACATGCATGCAGGAAGGCTAATGGAGCTGCACATCTCATAGCTCATACGAAGACGCGAAGGAATACAACAGAAGTTTAGTTTGATAGACCCGGCTGAACCTGTTAGATCAGCTTGTAATTGACAATGCTAGTTTTGTTTTAAGTGAATAAAAGCTGAATACAAGTTTCAATAAAAAAATCAAGAAGGCTTCTTACATTTACCGGTTGAAGAAGCAACATCAAGATTAGATTGTAACCAGTCAAATTGAACTCTCAGTTAATTATTCTCAATTTGAAGAGAATTGCTTGATAGGTGATAGAAAATAAACATGAACATTGAATTCTTTTAATTATACATACTGTGTGAGACCTATAATATCATGAGCAATTGTACATAAATTTTTACCTACATTTTGATCGAAAATGAATGGAAGAAACTAACAATATTAATAATAACCTGTTGTAATTCAAGAATATGATGACACAACCATGAAATGAAAAAAAAATATATATGGATTTATCAGTGAATCCCCTATACCTGCATGTAATTGTATTTCCTTTATCATTGTTATAAGTGATTCTTTTATGAATTAAGTGATTATATTCAACTTTATATGTCGGGCCACAAAATGAGTTATTTCTTGTTGGGCACCCATATAAAACCAACCAATGCATAGAATGATCGCCTTCCTCGTAATAGTTTAGTCTAAAAGATCCAAGAAGCTATTTGGGCTGAGGCTGACAGACTGATTCCAGGCCAATCTGCATCATATGGGCCTGAAACTCACCCCCGCAGCCCAAATCCAAGCAACTTTAAAACCCTAATCTGTAAATCTTCCCTCCCCTAGGCCGCCATACCATGACAGAACCTCCCTATAAATCCCTCTGTCAATTCAATCTCCAGCTTCATCTCGCCGTTTTCTATCTACACATCCAGCCGCTGCTCTCCTGTACTTTCCTAGATCGCGAATTCCCTCCGCACCTCTCTTGCTCATAGCTGCTGTTGTTTCTCCCTCAATTGTTTTTAGATTTCATGTGTTTTCTCCTTCTCGAAATCGATTGATGGGTTTTGAGCAAGACGAGTGCTATGATGAAGCAAATTGTTTTGTGGACTAGAGTTTCTGATTTGGGCTTCTTCTCCCAATAGTTGAAGACTAACCCTTGGCTGTCTGAGCGCTCTCGCTTCTCCCTTCCAATTTTGTTTTGATTTCTTTCTTTCCCCTGTTCTTTGCATTTTTTTCTGGGCTTATGATGATAACATACCTTTATCTTAGCGGATTTCAGTGAGATAAATTCGTTTGTCAATGATCTGATTGTTACACACACTGAGGCCTTCAAATTCAAATGCTTTTTATCCAAATCGGTTTAGTGTTTTGAAAAAGATTGATGCTTTATGCTCTGGGGGATTTGGATTGCGATGATGAGTTAAGGCACACGAGGGTGTGTTAATTGGGCAGTGGACGGGTTTCCCTTCATTGGTGGAACTCGCCGTGAGCCTTAATTTAAAACGACTTCTCCTTCCACTGAGCTTCCTTAAATCCTTATCCTGTTTTAATTCTTATCTATATTTTGATTCAGCTTTAAACCATGTTTTTTGCTCCCATTACCAATTCCGGAGGATTGTAAATATGGTTCCTCACGGTATAATGGCTAGGGTGCTAGATTTAATTATCTTGTGGCTTATCCTGATTATTGGCTGGTTTGCTGTGCTATTTAATCCTGGAAACACCACATATATTTGGTTTCCTACTTTCGTTACCTAGGCTATATAGTATTTCTTTCTCTTCGCAACTCCTATGGAGTGTTTATCAATGTAAAGACAGTTTATTGACGTTATGGCAGGCAGCAACAGCTGTTTCAGCGGAATTGTGGCACTGAGTTTTATTGCCAGTTCGTCGGGAGTGTTCTTGAACCTTGAAGAATGCGTAGCCATTTGTTTCGAAATATGGGGTACAACATTGGAGCAGCGTGGACAATAAAACCTCATGTTATAGACCAATGTTAGCTAATTTGGAAATCATCAATCTGAAACAATTTTCACATGGATGGCTAGCGTTGGGGTTCAAAGATACGCTTGGGTCAAAAATCAAAATCTTTTTAAGATGGACGAAGGATGGAAGTAAAGTATTGCAGTAATCAATTCATTTATTGGTGAAATAAGGAGGTAACTAGCCAACCCCATTCCAATCTAACCCGTGCAAAGCCAAACCGTGTATTAGAATCTAAATATTTGCATATAGAATCAAGAATCCAACTGTCAAGCTAGACCGTTGATTTGATGATATAGCTTAGTTGGACATGGCCCTCTATATTGCAGTTCATGTTGACTTGCCAACTTTTGCAGATCCGTAGGATACAAATATCAAATTCTTAGCGACAAAGTTGTTAACTATGATTTGATCCATGAAACTGTATTGGTACTGCAGATTATACTGGTAAAGTCAGCGGTACGATATTTTATGGTAAAGTGGTGGTTTAATCATATTTCAACTGTTAGTGTCGTTAAATACCATTAACCGATTTAACATTTGATACTGGTATTTCGTGGTTGAATCGCTGGTACAGTTAGGTTTCATGGACCATCGTCTGACCGCTTCAGAGGGAGAAGAAGAGAGAGAAGGATGAGGGAGAAAGACAAATTTGCGAGGAAGATTGGAATTAGGGTTTCTAAGACAGAGCTCAAAAATGGCACAATGTCAAACCGACGACTAGTGTTGCAAGATTCTCTTATCTCATATGTGAAAAAGGAGATGGGGAGTAATATAAAAGAGTCCAGATTTGGAGATCCCGAGTAAATTGCATGATGGAAGTATCTTGGAAGAATGATTATCTAAATGAATATTTGAAAATATGGAAAAGGAAGGGGATAATTCCCAAAAGCTTCTGAGAGCACAAACAATTATGAGATTGGCAGAAAGCTGGACCTATTTAACATTTTAACTACAAGTTACCTGTTCTAAAGTCAATTGCAATATCGGCAAAGTATAGCTCTGTAATATCAGCAAAGCATAGCTCTGCAGCATCATCAAATGGCAGTCAATCGGAAGTTTAACGTCGGTCTCCTAAGAATGTGTACCCTTCTCAACGTGACCATGTTGCTAATTTATAGATCTGCGCGTATAGATCGTTTGGTTTGTTGGTTGCATGGAGTTTTCCATGGATGATGCAGAATCTGCATTGGCTGGGAAGTATGGAGCCGACTCAAACCAATCAAGCTCAGGAGATGGAGATCCCATCTACTCAAACACTAGAAATGGTGGGGGTTGAGTCTCAGGAATGGGGTCCCCGAGAGACGGCTTGTCCGGTTGGGGATAAGTAGGTCTGCTATGTCTAAATCGAAAGTTGTAGACATGGGAAAGAGAACAGGGCAAAATGAGCGCCCTGTACAGGATATGTTAGGAGGAGGCAGAGGGTACGGTCGTGGTCAGGCTACTCGAGGTGGGTATGGTCAGGGGCAATGGAGTAGAAGCCGAAGCAGCGGTGGTGCTGGTCCAGTTCGGGGATGAAGCAAAGGATATGGTGGTCAGGGACCTCAAGGCCATGGAGGATGGAGAGGAAATATGCATGGAGGGCATGGGCAACAATTGAAGAAGGGATGCTCTGATCTAAGGGTGAATAACCCTCCTAAAACTGGGGTCTCATTTGGTTCCTTTGCGGGGGATCAAGGAGATGCTAGGATAGGTGAAGGCAGTAAGGAGGCTGATGCTTCTGACCCTAGATATAAACAAGTGTCTCGAATGTCAGTTGCAGAGCTGGATGAAAGTGAGGCTCGTAAGCGACCAACAACTGTGATGGAGGACCTAGTCCCGGATCCAACCTTTGCGAAGAAGGTGTGCATGGAAGAGGATTCTGCTGTTAAACAAAGTGATGAAATGGTGGGGGTAACCAACCAAAAATGGCCTGAAACCATCAAATGAAGATTTTGTCTTGGAATGTGAGAGGTATCAGACCGTCTCTCACTTTCCAATCATTGTCGGGTCTGTGTAGGTCAAATAAGACAGATTTTGTCTTTCTTTCAGTGACAAAATTGAGTAGGCGCGTAGTTACCCTTCGTTTGCACGGTTTAGGTTTGCAATATTTTTTTCTTGTGGATGTTGTTAATACTTTTGGTGGTCAGAGTAGTCAAAATCCCGATTTAAATCCTAAAATCCTACGCTTTTACGATTTTACTTACCTATTACGATCTTCATTTCACTATAAAATCTATGGACCTTAAAATCCTACACTATTCACGATTTAAATCCTTAAAATCTTGAAAATCTTACGATTCAAATCTTTGAGTCAATTTTACTTATTTTCCCCATAATTTGCAAAACTACGCCTCTTTTTCTTCTCCTCCACCAACATCATCTAGTTCTCTCACACTAACCACCATCGACTATAATAAATTCACATCAATGTATTAATCATCATTGATTCACCACCTCTTAACATTAACCTTGATAAATTGGAACCTTATCCTTGAAAATTATCATTGTAAGTGTTATGTGCTTTTATGTTATTCATGATTTTCCTTACTAATATTATCCCGTCTTCATTTTTATATGGATCTTAAAATCCTACGATTTTACGATTCTGATTTTACCCACATTTTTTATTTTACGTAAAATCCCGATTTTGACTGCTTTGTTGGTGGTTTGGCCTTCAACTTGGATACTAGTTTGAATGTAACAGGGTTATCTAGTTCGGATTTTTATGTTGCTTGTGGTGTGACTAAGGGGAACAATAGTGGTTTGGAGTATGTTGTGATTGGTGTTTACTTTTCTTCTGATATGTCTATCCATGGACATCAAACTCTTCAATTACAAATGAAATGCCAAACTATTGCTTGTCTTTTTGTGGTTGTGGGAGATATGAATTATGTTTTAGAGACTTCTGAGAAAACAGACGGATGAGATTGGGATCCAGCTAAATCTATGGCTGTGAGAGACCTGATGAATACGTGTGGGCTGCAGGACTTAGGGTTTATGGGTCCGCCTCATACATGGTCGAACCATCGTATGTGATTGGCTTGTGTTACTGAGAGATTGGATAGAGCATTAGCGTCTCTGGCTTGGGTAGAAAAGTTCCCCGAATCTTTTGTCAAACACTGTACCAACCTTGGGTCGGGCCATATAAAAGAACTTTGAGACCATTATTTCGGTTTGATTCGAGATGGGTAGAGTATGTTGAGGTTATACCTCTGGTTCAGTCCATTTGGGATCAACCTGTTGTAGGCTCTCCCATGTTTCGGCTTTGGATACGTCTAAAGCGCTTGCGACATAAGCTCTATGAGTGGAGTAGAGAGGGAACTTGTAATTCACAAAGGAGTATCTGAATACTCCAACATGAGATTGAAGCTCTTGAAGGGGAGGCGGAGATTGATTGGGTTCACGTGGGTGAATTAGAGACGAAATTAACGCGATAATAGGCAGTAGAAGAGGTTTTTAGGCGGCAGAAATCGGGGGTATATTGGCTGAAAGAAGGAGATTGTAATTCCTCTTACTTTCATAATGTGACCCGTACTCGTCGACGAAAAAATTATATTGAAAAGCTTCTTCGGGAGGATGGAACTTGGGTAGTGGAGGAAATTGAGAAAGCGGGGGAGGCTATTGACTTAATGACTTCTATGAGAAACTATTCTCAACCGAGAGTGGGGTGGGGAATTTGGTCGAACATGTCCAATTGCTCCCTATAGCCACGACGGTGTAGGAAGAGATAATGAGCAGCTCACGACCCCAGTGTTGCCGGATAAAATTCGTAGGGCAATTTTCTCAATTAGTCCTACCCAGGCTCCTGGGTCGGATGGATTTACTGGAAAATTCTACTAGACATATTGGGATATCATTGGGCCATCAGTGATTGAGGAGGTGCAATCTTTTTTCGCTTCAGGGCGTTTACTCAAAAGCTTTAATCACACATGGTTAACGTTGGTTCCTAAGGTGGACTTGGTGGAGTCTATGAAACAAAACCGACCTATCAGTTTGTGTCAGGTATTCTATAAAATAATTTCTAAAATTTTGGCAGAACGGATGACAGTTCCTTTGCCCAATATTATCTCTCCGGAACAAAATGGATTTGTCTGGGATCGTCAAATAGTCGATAATATGCTAAATGGGCACGAGATCATGCATCATCTCAGAATCAAGAGGCATGGAAAGAAGGGTAATTTATTTGGCTTTGAAGGTTGGCATGGAAAAGGCATATGATAGAGTCGAATGGCCATTCTTGTTTGCGATCTTGAAAAAACTGGTATTTGGGGAGAAATGGATCAGTTGGATGAAAGAAGTAGTGTCTTCTACTTCATTTTCAGTGTTAATGAATGGGACTCCTTCGAGATATTTTAGTTCATCTAGAGGTTCGAGACAAGGAGACCCATTGTCCCCGTTGTTATTTCTTTGTGTACAGAAGGATTCGCAGCCCTCATCAGGAAAGCGATAGTGGAAGGTCGCCTCATTGGGGTGAAAGTAAATCCAAGAAGTCCTAGTGTCTCTCATCTATTTTTTGCAGATGACTCATACCTATTTTTGAGGGGACCGAGACAAGAATGTGAGAATCTGGTTCACATTCTCTACATTTATCAAGGTTTGAGTGGACAAAAAGTGAATATGGAAAAGTCGGCGGTCCGTTTTAGTAAGAATATCCAAGCTACAGATTGTACAGAGATGGCTCAGATTTTGGGAGTGGGTGTGGTGGGAGTTCAAGATAAATACTCGAGTTTGCCCACTCTAGTTCAATGATCTAAAACAGACACTTTCCGGTATTTGGAGGAGAAACTGCTGGCTAAACTGCATGGTTGGAAACACCGTCATTTGTAGCTAAAGAAGTGTTTCAAGGTGGTGGCATTGGCATTGCCTATTCATGTTATGTCATGTTTCTTGTTGCCTCTTGCGTTGTGTCGTAAATTGGATAGAGATATGGCTCGCTTTGGTGGGGTTATTCGACATAAAAAGATAAGGCACATTGGGTGTTTTGGAAAAAGTTTTGTCGCAGTAAATTTTGAAGGAGGGTTGGGGTTCAAGAGATTTGAGGAGTTTAATCATGCTCTCCTTGCTAAAGTCGCGTGGCGAATTATGGAAGACCCAGAGTCGTTGCTAGCCCGGGTTTTGAAGGGGAAATATTTCCCTCATTCGAATATCCTACAGGCTAAGAGGGGTTCGAGACCTTCGTGGGGGGGGGGGGGGGGCAGAGTATTCTGCATGGTAGAGATTTTCAAGAGCAAGGATTGGTTTGGCAAGTAGGGTCTGGGGAAGATGTGAGAATCCGGGAAGACTCTTGGATCCCTGGGGTTCAAGCTGGGAGTGTAGCTTTGCTTCCTAATGTGCCGGTGCAAGATGGGGATAAGGTGGAATTGTTATTGGTGCCAGGGGAAGGGGTCTTGGTGTTTGGATTTTTTACGTCAATGTTTTCCGCAGGAAATTGTGCGTCATATATTGTCCATTCCGCTGGCAAGGTTAGATTTGAAGGACAGGTTGGTCTGGGAATGGGAAAGAACATGTATTTTTTTTCCAGTAAAATCGGCTTATCATCTAGCTATGCAGATTAGTCGAGGCCTGAAGCGATGGAAAGAGGAAGTCTTTTTTTTACAAGGATTTCTGGAAGAAAATGTGGGGATTTCTGATTCAGCCAAAGCTGAAGTTTTTCCTCTCACAATTGATGCTTCAGATACTGCCTACTATGGAGACGTTGAAAGAGAAAGGGTGCATGTGCCCGACAACTTGCCATGTGTGTTGGGAGTCGTTGGAGTTTATTGATCACTTATTTCTAACCTGTAGGGTGGTGGCCAGCTTGTGGGATGGTAGTGGCCTTCGAGCTGCTTGGGAGGGATTGGAAGCAATGCAGTCAAAATCTAGATTTTAAGTAAAATCGAAAACCGAGGTAGAATCGAAATCGTAGATTAAAATCGTAAAATCGTAAGATTTTGAGGTTCATATTAAAATAAATACTTAAAACACTAGATAGTAATAAAAATGCATATCTTGAATAACAATCAACCACATAAAGCATAATTACTTCCCAAGATAAGTTTGTTTGCTAAACAAACACAACTAATCCATATATTTTTCTTGTACATAATAGAAACACACAAATAAGAAACATTATAGATATCACTGTTAATTAATTGTTAAGAGTAGAAAATCACATAAGATCGTTAGGATCAACATTAACATCACTTACACATCATTGTCATCATCCTCAACCTCACCCTCACTCTCATCGTTTTTATTTGTTTAAGGACTAATATCATTACTCTTCTGATCACTTGAAGTACTTTCACCATTAACCATATTTCCTTGATTACCATCATCCGGAAAAGATAACTTATTGATTGATGCATTCCCTTCTTAATTGATAAAAGGTCGGGTTAGTGGTGCTGAAGGATTGGGAGATGAACAAAAGCTTGCAATGTAATGGAGATTTGGATTATTGTGAGGGTGGTGGGAACAAACTACAAACTAATTGGGAGGGTGGAAGATATCGTTGATGGAAGGAGTTGGGCGCCGACGTGCGAAAGAGGAAGATATGAGGAAGAGAATGAAAATAAATTGAGGGTTAACTATCAGGTTGAGGTTGTGTTGTTCATTATGTTGGATTGGGGAAAGTAAATTTGACTCGGTTCATGGGCATAACCCAACTTGACCGGCCTAATTTTGATCCAATTGATATGAACCTTGAAATCGTACAAAATCGTAGATTTTATGGATTTTAGAGTTTTAAATCAGGATTTTATAGGATTTTAAGGTTCAAAGATTTTACAGTAAAATCAGGATCGGAACCCATAGGTAAGATCGTAAAATCGTAAGATTTTAAGATTAAAATCGGGATTTTGACTACATTGATTGGAAGGGATGAATTTGACGCTGGTACTTTGGAGGATGGTGGAGCTGGATGACTCTCCGGAGCGTGTTATGCGGTTGGTTGGTTTGTTACGGAGAATACGAAAGTCAAGGAATTGGGTTGCTTTTGATCATATTCAGTATAGCTCTGTTGTGTTGTTGCGGCAATATAATATGCACGTTGCAGAGTGGCTTTCTTCTTTTGATAATGCAGCTCCCCAGCAGCATGCTTTGTAGCTGGATAGGCGGGGTAGGAATGATCTTGCTACGGTAGTAATGGAGGGGGTGTTTCACGTGCTGGGTGGATGGGGTGGTCAGGGTTGGTTCACATGCTGCAGGTGGTTTGGTGGTTATGGATGGGACGGGGAGTGTCATTTTGTGTAATCATTACGCTTACCTGGCAAATCCTTTCCTAGTTGAGTTGATGGCTTTTCGAGATGCTCTCCAGTGGTGCTCTTTGAAGGGTCTAGCTGCGGTAACGTTCTGTGGGGATGCAAAAGATGTTGTTGATAAGACCAAGGAAGGAGATATGAGAGATGTGTGTGGAGGGGTGATATTGGAAGAGATCTGATATCTTCGGCAACAATTTCAACGGTTTAAGGTGGAGTTTATTGGCAAGAAAAACAACCGAGTAACCCATTTGGTGGCTAGGAAAGCTCTTAATTTGTTTCCTGCAGATTGTGCTAGTTTTGACCTTAGACAGTGGGTTTTTTTTGGTTTGTAAAACTTTTGGTATCGGTGATTCTTGGTAATACAAGGTAGCTATTGGCAAAAAAAAAAAAAATAAAAAAATTTTGACACCATATATCTTAGTAAATAATTAAGATACAAAATTAAAGCATTCCAACTTGGAGAAATTTTACAATGTTATATAGTATTGCTACTATATGATTTTGTCTTTATGGTATAATTTAAAATTGTACATTTACGTTTTGGTACAACTTCAGATTGTACCTATACATTTTGTACAAATTCTTTTATGGTACAACTTGAACTTGTACCTTTATGTGATGGTACAACTTCAAGTTGTAAAGTTGTACCATAACATAATGGTACAAATTGCTTTATGGTACAACCTAAACTTATACATTTAACGTTATGGTACAACTTTAAGTTGTACATTAAAGCACCAATACTATATAGCATAGTAGAAGTGCTCTCCAACTTGCACCATAACATCATAAACATTTAGATAATGTCATATGGAGACACGATCGTCTCTACTCTTTGGTGAAGTGTGGTTGTGAATGAAGGAGGAGACGAGATTCTCAAATTAAATAGTGAGACTAGGTATCATTGTGGGAGTTGGGAGAGTGGTCGAGTGGGCTGCTAACACATATTGAGAAGTCGGCTGGGTTCATGGTTTGGACCAGACTAGACCAAGAGATAAAAACAACATATAATACAGACCATGGACTATACTAGACCATACTTAACGATCTACGATCCGAACCAAATTGTGCGGTCTAGTTTGGACCATGGTTTTCTAAACGGTCTAGTCTATTTTCTCAGCCCTAAGTATTCTACTCTTCCACTTCTTATTATATCAATCAATAATTCAATAAATATTCTTCCAAGAAAATTAAACGAGGGGATTATCCGACGGGGACGATTGTGGTGGCTGCTTCTCCCCCTCCTACGCCACATCACCATCCCTCTCTCTCATGGAAAACCTTTAATTTTCACTCTTTAATCTTTAACGAATGATTTCTCTCTCGTTTTAAGTCGGAATTTAAATTTTTATGCACACTTAAATGAGATTAATTGTGTTATCAAAATGATATCCACATTAATATTTTTTTTAAACAAAAAAATTGAGGGACTTTTTACGAGTCCATACCATGGTCGTATTGATTGGAATTAAAATAAGAGCATACTATATGGTATGAAAGCGTACCACAAGATACCACCCGTACCAGGATGGTACAGTGTG